TGCAGGGTATGCGGTGATCTCTCATCAGGCATACACTTTGGGGTGTATACATGTGAAGGATGCAAAGTAAGAATTCAACATCTATTGCCTCAATCTTGCTGAACATGAATTTTCGAAAGAGAATTCAATGTTTTAATTAAAAAAAAAGTTTCTAATAAAAGTTTATGCAATTTAGTAAGCGCTGACTTTAAATGCAATAGTATGAGGTTATTATGAGGATACCTCAAAGTATGCACGAGGACAGTATAGCAGAAGTATTAACCAACGCGCAGCAGAGGTCGATGCGATGGTGTACTGTCTGAGTGCATATTTGGAGGTATCTTCGTAATAATCTTATTATTATACATCTTTTCTATTCAAGGATACATCATGGGAATGCCAAAATCCAAATAGTTTAGAACAGAATCAGAGAACTTTTTTGTGTGGAGTCTGGTCAAATCCTAGTGGCAGCCATGTTTGCTTATCATATGAGTGATTGTCCATTGGCATCCAGCGCCGTCCGTTGCCGTCCTTGTCAATGTTTTACTTTTTTGACTTTTTCTTGAAAACTACAAGCCTGAATGCCTTGATACTTGGTTTATATGTACCTTGGGTAGACCTCTCTTAGATTTGTTCATTTCATGATGCTATCTTCAATTATCTAGTTTTAATGAATATAATTATTTTTGTCATTTTTGTTAAAAAGTGATATTTTCAAATTCTTGTTGAAAACAGAGTCTGATTGCTTTGATACTATACATATTGTTCATTTTCTAGTGATTTTCAGTTCTTTAATTGAAATGTGCATTGCTAACAGCGGAGCTATCTCAGCTTGTTATTGTTAGAGGTCGCTTACACGCATATTCATTCCATACTTGGAATTCACATTTCCTTATATGTTAGAATGAGAATACCTTGTAAAATACCTCAAAATTATGGCAGCCTGTAACTTATGGTGTTACGGTGACAGATGTATAAGAATAGATAATAACATTAGTCTGGGGAGGCAGTACAATGAATACTACCAAAATGACTACTTATTAATTAATCAATGTGCATAATAATAATTATCTATTTTTAGCTCCGCTGTCGACTTTGTCGAGCGGAGCTTATCATATGAGTGATTGTCCGTCGTCGTCGTCGTCCGTCGTCCGTGTCAATGTTTTACTTTTTCAACTTCTTCTTGAAAACTACAAGCCTGAATGCTTTGATACTTGGTGTATATGTACCTTGGGTAGACCTCTCTCAGATTTGTTCATTTCATGATGATATCTTCAATTCTCTAATTTTGGTGAATATTTTTGTCATTTTTAGTAAAAAGTGATATTTTCGACTTCTTGTTGAAAACCGCAAGTGCAATTGCTTTGATATTACATATATAGGTACTACATGTGGACCTCTCTCAGATTTGTTCATTTTGTAATGATATCTTTAATTCTCTAATTTTGGTGAATATTTTTGTCATTTTTGGTAAAAAGTGATATTTTCGACTTCTTGTTGAAAACCGCAAGTCCAATTGCTTTGATATTTACATATATAGGTACTACATGTCAACCTCTCTCAGATTTGTTCATTTTGTAATGATATCTTCAATTCTCTAATTTTGGTGAATATTTTTGTAATTTTTGGTAAAAAGTGATGTTTTCGACCTCTTGTTGAA